TGAGCAGAAGTGACACGCAGTCCTGACAAGCTCTCACTCCCTTCCATAGGACTCGAGTCTGCAGCTTCTCCCACACTGGCATTTTCTTTTGTGTGTGAAGCAGGCGGGTTCAGTGAGCAGTGTGGCCCAGGGCGCTATGTGCTGCTCACCCCAGACGGAATGTGCCAGTTTGCAGTGGGAGGAGACGCAGTCCTGCCGGCTGCAGAGGCTGCAGCCGGGCAATAGAGTCCACGTCAGCCCCAGGGTGCCCAGCAGCGGGTTCAGGCGGCAGTGACAGGAGGCCTGGCAGCGTCTGGCTCTGGGCAGGCCTGCATCCGCCATGGGCAGATGGAGGTCCAGCTGAGGCAGCAGCACTGTGCTGCAGGAAGGAGTGGCTGCACACCATGGCTTCTCACCCCGGCCAGCTCGCCGGACACTGCTGCCAGGTGGGACAGGAGCCATGAGGAGGGCCCAGGACAGCCAGGTGCGCTGGCAGCCTGGCCACAGCGTCCAGCAGGGCAGGCTGCTGGTAACCTGCCAACCAGGGAAAGGCGGCAGCAGAATAAGCAGAAGCCGTGACGTGAGCGACAGCTCGAGCAGAGGACAGCCAGGACGGGGTCTCTGTGGTTACTGTCCCCAGGGAGACAAGTGAAGGCCAGGCCTCCCTGACCCAAGAGCGTGCTGCCACGAAGCAGCTGCGCTCCCAGAGAAGGCTGAGCTTTTGGGCATATAAAGACACAATAATAGAAATGGAAGCATCATAGAAAGATTAGAAGAGAATGTTGATGGAAATCCCCAGAAAACAGCAAATAAAGGTAAAAATACAAAAAAATAGGAGCGAGGAGAATTGGCAGGCTGGACCATGCCACCAGTATTCCAGTAAGAGACACCCTGGAGAGTGCACAGGGAGTGGGGGCGGCGGCGAGCGTGATTCGGGAGCGTGCTTGACCTGAAGATGTTCCAGATGGAAGGTCTGCTTGGTGCACTGGACGCCTCTGTGGGGGAAAACTGGTCCAAGAAAACAGGGCTGCCGCGGGCTTCTTACCCGCACCGGCCAGCTCAGAGGACAGCATGGCAGAGCCCTGAGGGGAAGCGTCCAGCCTAGCGGTGCAGCCCAAATGCCATCTGAGGTTTAGCGAAGTAAGACTCAGAACCGCATCTCCCACGTGTCTGTGGCAGTGACTGGAGGGTGTACCCCACTAAGACATGTGTTGAGCCAAGAAGGAAGACCCTAGGGGACCACAGGACAGGTGTGGTGTGGGCTCTGTACAGTAGGAGACCTGGGGCATGGCCTCTGACATCCCCTCAGCCGAGAGGAGGTTAGGGCCATGTTAGTGACACGCGCAGATCACCAAGTCCAGCGAAAACAAAGCCGCGTGAGAAGGAGCGTTAGTCCCAGCAAGGTCAGCTCTGAGCAGTGCCATGGCAGGGCGCAGGTCGAGGCTTGGCCGGGCTGGCCCGGACGTGGCTGCATCGAGGATGGGGAAGTGTACGGGGATGGAGGAGCCTTCCTGGGGGGCGGTGAGAGACACTGCAGACACCAGGGTCAGAGAGAGATCTGGCCCCTGTAGCTGCTTCCAGAGAAGGAAAATTGTGGTGGGGGGTGTGCATGAGAATCGCTCTTCTAACCTGTGCCTGTACAAAACTTTGATTAAAGATCAAAACTTAACAAGTTTAGGGGTGGGCTTCTGTTTCTGGCCTGTTAATCTGAAAAAAATTCCTGCTACAAAATACCCAGAAATGCTGACCAGTTGGGCCGTCGTTGTTCTGATCAGAAAGAGAAGCCTTAGGGCCAACAGGGAGGACAAGAGAGGAGCTGAGGGGTCAGAGGCCTCCAGCTGCCCCAGGGTGTCTGCCGGTCATCTTGGCAGCCACAGGGTGGGTGGGAGACAGGCCCTTCTGCACCTCAGGTGGGGCCAGATCCTGCATGAAAGGGCGACTGAAAGAAACCTTCCTCCATGGGCCCTGGGAGGCAGTTTCAGGTTTTTTTTTCTTTTTTTTTTGGTTTTTAAAAAAATGTCTTTTAAATTCTCTCTCCTAAAAAGTTGTAACCATGGTTTGTCTGCATGTGGACGTAGGGTTCAAATTTATTCTTTCTGTTGGACTGGGAAGCCCCAGGCTGAGACATTAGCCTTATAAGTGGGCTGGGTTAGAAGTGTCCTGGGCAGGGGGACCAGCGTCCTATTGCCAGTCCAAGTCCCGGTCAGACCAAAGGGGGTGCTGCGCTGGCCCTGGACACGTGTCCGAGGGTCTCCCAGCAGGCCCAGGACCCGCAACGTGGATTCCAGCACACACAAGAGAGCAGAATCAGCAGAAGGTCACATGTTTTGGAGTGATCAGTTATGGGATATGAAGTAACAGGGTAAAGAGATAAAAGGAACACATTGTGATAAAATGCAAGATTCGCAAGGATGAGACCAGCCTGAGAAAGGGCCAAATAAAATTTCTGGACGTGAAACAATCATCCACTAAAGAGCGGGCTGTGGGTTAGACAGCTGATGGCAGACACTGAAGAGAGGAGCAGCTGAGCAGGGCTCTGGGGACAACCTGGAGGCAGCACTGAGCAGGCGGCACCTTTGAGACTTGAAGGACAGGGCGGGGGGGTGGGGGTGTCAGAGGACGCTGGAAAGCACAAGCAATCCAAGGAGGTGAGTTAGAAGGTCTATGCCTACACGCATCCCGCCCAAGTAAAGACACTGTGACCTAGCCACCGCGAAAGCCATACCCCTGACACTGGCCACACAGCTCGTGCCAGGACACCTGCTCCCTGGAGCCCACCCACAGAGCTGGAAAGGGCATGGGAGCTGTGGGAGTGAGCATTAGGGGTGCACAGGGCACCCCAGTGCCGGCAGGAGAGCAGCAGCACACCCACGGTGAGCCCTCCTGTGCCTGCAGCTTCAGATGGAGCCACTGCAGGGTGTGAGGCGTGCTGTGCACGTGGCCGCGGCCCAGCGTTGCCTCCGCAGCCCTCCCTGCACACAGCCCCTCCCCGGGGATGCGTAGGTGCCGAGCCAGAGCTGCACCTGCCCTGGGCGTGTGTGTCACTGTCGTCCTTTCGTCACTGCTGCGTCTGATCCTCGTTCTATCTGCCCAGACCTGAACAAGGCAGAAAATACAGAGAGAAACCAGTGCTTTGGAAAGTAAACCATTGGCAGAACGATTATATTTTATATCCAGTCCTTTAAAAAAGTGAATGAAATAGTTGAGTTGCTGCCTAATCAGGAGAAAACCCCAAAACAAAATGAGAAATGCTAATGGAAAAGTGAGCATGGACGCAGAGAAGATAAGAAGACTTGAAAGCGAAGACTCGTCATTTGTGTGTTAAGATGCTACTGATGTTTGAATGTGGGTTTGTATCCTGCATCTTTGTTGAATTCATTTATTCTGACCGTTTTTTTGTGGAGTTTCTGAGGTTTTCTACATAGGATCGTGTCACCTGCAAGTGGAGATAACTTTTGTCCCTCCTCCTCAGTTTGGATGCCTTTTATTTCTTTGTCTCCTCCAACAGCTCTGGCCAGGACGCCCGGGGCTGTGCTGAATAAAAGAGGTGAGAGTGGCCATCCTTGCTTTGTGCTGCATCTTGGTGAAAAATCTTTGTTTCTCCCCATCGATTATGTTAGCTGTTGTGTTCTTCATAAATGGCTTTATTATGTTGAGGAACTTTCCTTCTATACCTAAATCACTCAGTGTTGTTACCAAGGAAGGATGTTGGATTTTTCTTTTTTTCTGCATCAATTGAGATGATCATGAGATTTTAATCTTTCGTTCTGTTAACGTGGTGTATCACATGGACTGATTTGTACATTAAACCAGCCTTGCATGCTAGGGATAAATCCCATTTGGTCATAAGATATAATCTCTTTGATGTGTTTTTGGATTTTTATTGAGGATTTTTGCATCAATGTTCATGAGAGAGATTGACCTGTAGGTTTCTTTTCTTGTGATGTCTTTGTTTGACATGGTATTTTCTTCATTTCATACTCGGGAAGACAGAGGCCCCCAAGAGGGTGTAAGTGATCCATCCAGAGTCGCACGGCTGGTGGGCGTCAGTGGGGCTGAGCCAGTTCTCCTCTAGCACCAGGAATGGGGCAGGGAGGCCCGCGTCAGGGTCCTCGTCTGATATTGTCCTGGAGAGGCTGGCACAAAAAGACCACAGTAAACCAACCAGACAAAGAATGGGTGGACAAAAGCAAACTTTTATGGTCCTCAGTTAATGAAATTGTCTATGCAAAAATCCTAGCACATTCTCACAAATTAGTAGAAATAGCAGTAGCTCAGCAGGATGCTGCTGTGTGATCAGGGTCTAAAGATTATCTGCACTCCTCTATACCAGTGTCAAAGGTGGCGGTCCTCCCCCGTTAATCTGCAGTCAGCGCAGTTTCTAGTGAACGTCCTATCGAGCCCCTCACGGATTGATGTTGGTTTAGCCCTGCAGGTGGCTGGTGACCTGAGTGGAGGGGCTACCTCTGGGCCATGTTTCTCAGCAGTTTTACTCTCATGGGGCAGGGTGTGGCTCTGCGGCAGGGGACTGTGGCGGAGGGAGGTTTCCTGAGGACTGCTGGCAACACAGGAGCTGGGGCAGGGCTGCAGGAGGGCAGAACACACGTCTGGGTTCTGGTGGGGTTGGGGTCCCCGTCAGCGAGGCTGCCAGTCCAAAGTGAGGAGGAGTTGCAGAGAGAAAAGTGGGCGTGAGGCCGTCAGACTGTTGGGGACCCAGAGGCTCGCAAGCCTCTCGGACATCAGGAGCACCTGCACTGTTGATTCTTATGTGCTGGGTTTAAAGTGATTTCTCAAGTGCAAAAAGTACAGACCAGGAAGGAAAGACCAATAAGTTTGATGTTACAAATCGAAGTGTGAAAATAAAAAGTGGAAAGGCCCAGCTGCGGTCCTGGGAGCAGGTGCGCACGGGGCCGGGGTAGCTGGAGCTCACGAGTCTGACCTGGTGCTCTGCCCCACGGCTGCGTCAGCCCGGGCGGGCCTCACAGTGCCCTGGGACAGGTGCTAACATCTCCCCATTTTATAGACAAGGAAACTGAGGCACAGAAAGGCTAGGCAATCAGTCCCAGGGCACACAGCTGGTAAGTGGTAGAGCCCGCGCCTATGAGCTGCCTTTCAAAGCAGATACAGGAAGAGCTGTGAAATCAGAGGGAGATTGCTGCTCTGGGCCGATGGGGAGAGAAACAGACCGACCTCACGCAGCAGCCAGCGAACAAGAAAAAGGGGTCAACCGCTAGTGACCAGAAACATTCAGCTGAAGCTGCAGTGAGGTATTGTCTCACGTCAGTTTACAGAAAGTTAAAATTAAATTGTCTGAAAATACCAAGTTTAGATTACATTTGGAGTAGGACTCGTGCACGGCTGTGGGGAATGCCAGTTGGTGACCCACTCTGTGGAGCCAGTGGCCCTGTCAAGCAGAGCTGAAGGTTGGGGGCAGCCTCCGAGATGGCCCCAGTGACCCGTCCTTGGTCTTGCACCTGCGTGTGCGGTCCCCTCCATGTGTGGACTTCCCCTGGAGCGTGGAAGGTCTGGCTGTGAGATGCCACCTCTCCTGGTGGCTTGTCTCCTCCGTCAGTTTTCTTTTCCAGTGTCCTCTCCCTCTACCCACCGAGCGGGCCTGTGTGACAGGAGCCTGGCCTCGGCTTCTCTCCTCTGCGTGCCCATTTTTCCCTTGACACAGGGCCCAGCCCCTGCTGTCCACTCCCAGACCTGCGCCTGAGCCAGGCCTGAGTCCTGGGCCCATGGCCAGTGTCTCTTGGACTTATCCACCCGGACGTCCACATCCCCTCAAAGCCCAGGTAGCTATACACGTGTGACACTGCGGTCAGCACACAGGCCACGGCACCAGCGCACTGTCTCAGGGTCGCCGGTCCTGGGAAGCCCTTGTGCTGCCCTGACATCCTGGCGCCACCACCCACTGCTGCACTCCCTGAGGCTCTGCCCTGCCTCCTGCATCCTTCCTGCCCCCTCGCTGGCTGCAGGGCCTCACATGCTGCGCTGAGCCTGGCACTGCGGCCCTCAGAGCATGTGTCATGAGTCAGTCTGTGAGGGGTGAGGCGGCTGCCACACCGCTTCCTCCTGTCCCCTTGGCAGACTAGAGTGGGCCAGGGCTCTGGCCAGAGAGCATTTTGGGAAGGTCGGTATCTGTACCAGTGTCAGTGAGGGGTGAGGCGGCTGCCACACCGCTTCCTCCTGTCCCCTTGGCAGACTAGAGTGGGCCGGGGCTCTGGCCAGAGAGCATTTTGGGAAGGTCGGTATCTGTACCAGTGTCGTAGGGCTGCCGTAACAAAGTACCACAAGTTGGGTGGCTTAAAACAACAGAAATTTATTCTCTCCAAGTTCAAGAACAGAAGTGCAAAATCAAGATGTTGGTGGGTTTGGTTCCTTTGTGGGGGCTCGGAGAGAATCCTTCCTGCCCTCCCAGCTTCTGGTGGTGCCCCTGATCCTCAGCGTCCAGTCTCTGCTTGGTTGTCACGTGGCCGTCTTGCCCCGGTGTCTGTTTCTCCTCTTCTTACAGGGACACTGTCACGTTTGATGCAGAGCCCCCCCCTCTCTCCTGTAACCTTATCTTAACAGTTGTATCTATGACCCATCTGTTTCTAATAAGGTCACATTCAGAGGTTCTGGGAAGGACATGAATTTGGGGGATACTCTTCACCCCATTATAGTCCTGGGGTCCTGTGCCTGGCCCCTCTGGGAGGGGTGGCCTGCGGGCTGTTGTGGGATTTGTAGAAGGGACAGCAGTGTAGACCCTGGGGTGCTGGGCGCGGGTCTGTGGCTGCTCACGTGGGGGTGGTTGTAGCCCTGCAGCACTTCAGCGAGAGCACCCTGGAGTATCTGGCCAACTTGGACCAAGCCCCAGACCCCACAGTCAGGAAGGACGCCTTTGCTGCTGACATCTTCAGCGCCTACGATATTCTCTTCCACCAGTGGCTGCAGAGCCGAGAAGCCAAGGTACACCCCAGCTGCCCCTGTGACCCCACTGGCCTGTTAGGTGCCTGGAGCCTGGGCCTGGCATAGCTGCCCTCTCCCACCCCGGGCCTGTCCCACCACCACGACGGCCCTCCTGCCTCTGCTTGCCGTTCTGTGGGCTCTGACTTGGGGGTGGTCATGGGGAGGGGGAGGGGGGCCAAGTCACCTCTCTACACCCACTGCCAGGGTGCTCCCCCTCCCAAGTGCCCTGCCCACAGCTGTTGCTCAGGAGGTGGTGGGGTTGCATTGGGGAGCAGAGGTACCTTGGGTGGGGTCTACCTGCAGGTCCCCGCACATGTGCTGCACCTCACCTGCAGGTTCTTTACACTTGTGGCTGGTGCCAGCTTGCTCTGGAGCGTGTTCTGTTCTCGGGAGCATGTGCTCCTGAGGTCTAGTCACTGTGGGTGCCCTACTCCAGCCCCCATCTCCTTTCTATTCCAAAGCCCCAGTGCTGCCTGGGGTGGCACCTGTTGTCTCCCATGTGCCCCCCTGGCCTAGCCACTGTCCAGCCCCTTGCTGTGGTCACTCTGCAGCTGCACTCTGACCTCTGGCTGCTGGGCTCTCTTCCCATCCCCTTTAGGACACGCTGATAACCTGGCCCAGGGTGCTTGGTGAGGGGCCCTTGCAGTGTGGGGTTGTCTGTGAGCAGTATGGCCCCTGCCTCTGTCTCCTCAGCTCCGGCTCGCCGTGGTGGAGGCTCTGGGCCCTGTGAGCCACCTGCTGCCTGGTGAGAAGCTGGAGGAGCAGCTCCCCAAGCTCCTCCCTGGAGTCCTCGCCCTCTACAAGAAGCATGCAGAGGCCTTCCACGTGTCCAAGGTGTCTGCGTTTGGCACCGAGGTCCTCTGTTGAGATCCTGTGGTGGGTTGTGAAGGATGGGGGTCCTGGTGGGGACCAGCTCAGGCTTCAGCCACCGCTCTGCACTGGACAGGAGCCCACAGAACTAGCGCCATGTGGCCTGTCGCTCCGACCTCTGACCTGGGACTCTCCTTTCCCGACCCCTTCCCTCCCCTCCCCTCCACTCTGGATTCTAGAAGTGGGGGAAAGGCTTCCTCATTTGAGTCCCAAGGTGGGGTCCCTGCCCTCCTGCGCCTCTGCTTGTGGAAGGGGGCTGGATGTGGGACTGACCACACTCTCCTCCCTGCCCCGAGCAGAGCCTGGGCCAGATCCTCGAGGCAGCCGTGAGCGTGGGCAGCCGCACACTGGAGGTCCAGCTCGATGCCCTGCTGGCCGCTCTGCATGCCCAGGTAGGCTGGGAGGAGGGTCGTCGGGGTGGTAGCAGGTGCTGGCTGCAGGGCTCGCCCGCTGCTGCATCTCAGCACCCAGAACAGCTCCTGTCGTTGTGTGAGGGCTCAGCCCGTTTGTTTTATGGACAGTCGAGTCAGTCACCTGGAAAGAGTGAGCTGTGTCAGCACAGGGACTGCTAGAGCAGGAGGAGGCCAGCAGGCCACCAGGGTCAAGAACAGCCTCTAAGAACCAAGGGCATCTTCCCGCTGTGTAGCGACCAACCAGAAAGTATCAAGATTTACAACAGCAAGAGAAACACTGTGAAGTATCTGGGAGTGAACCTTACCAAGAAGGCCTAGGGCCTCAGTGGAGAAAAAGTGTGTAATTCTGCAAACGCAGCGGTGAGAACGAGAGGTGTGGCAGTGTCATTGCTCAACAGGGATGCGCGAGACACCACACGTTTGCAGAACTGAGAGGACAAGGGAATGGCTGTGTGGGATGGAGTGAGAACACTTGGAAAGGGAAAAACACAGAAGCTGGAAAGGCAAGAAGAAGCGTGTTGTTTCCTGCTCTTAGAGCTGCACGTTCGGGTCTTCTGTTCTGTAGGGTCTGAGGTTTTTGTGTTGAGCTGCAGCAGGTCTGCACAGCCTGTGCTCACGCTGCACATGTTGAAATGTCTGCTCCCGCTTTGTGCCTCATCGTCAGACTGTTTATGCTACTTTTTTGCCCTGCAAATTGTAATTTTTACATCAGCATTTATCCATCTCTGGTCTGAGGTTTTTGTGTTGAGCTGCAGCAGGTCTGCACAGCCTGTGCTCACGCTGCACATGTCGAAATGTCTGCTCCCGCTTTGTGCCTCATCCTGTTTATGCTACTTTTTTGCCCTGCAAATTGTAATTTTTACATCAGCATTTATCCATCTCTCAGGTTTCCTGCTTTTAAGGCCAATTTAATTGATCAGTAGAAGGCTTTTTAAAAAGCCATAAAATTTTTCACACGCGTGTCCGTTTTTTGGTGAGTCTCACTCATGTCCTGGTGCAGTCAGTCCACAGTGACTGTGGCCACATCAGAGCTGCAGCTTGCTTTTGTACAGCCTGCGAGCCAAAGTGTCATTACGTTTTTAACAGGTTGTAAAAGCAAACAAAGAAGAACATGCGGCAGAGACCACATGTGGCCTATGAAGCCTGAAATGTTTTCTGTCCAGCCTTTTACAGAACAAGGGTGCTGACCCCTGTCGTGTGAGGCTTGCTGTCCATCGCAGAAAATAGCGACCCTGGACCTGGGGCAACGTGCGAGTTACGATGTATGGGATGACACAGGAGCACCTTGAGAAAGGGGCAGGGATAAGGGAGGACAGTGGCAGCCAGAGCCACAGTCCAAATCGTGCCACGAAGCCAGGAGTCTCTGCAGAGGGGCTGGGAGCTGAGCACCTGCTCCCCGCAGAGCGGCCTTTGAGACCCCCGAAGGAAAGCTCAGTAGGGATCTCAAATAAAGCAGGAAGTTTCTGGGTTTGAAAAGAATGACCAGAGCACGTAAGAATAGAAAGAGGAGGTGTGTAGTGCATTTTTATTCCGAAGTCACCACTGAAAGACAGGTTTGGTTTTCGTTTGTTCCCTGGTGTTAAATGGAACAGCCTTGTCAGCGAAGGTTCCCGCCACCTGCTAAGGTGGTTCTGATGCAGCGAGGCCGCCTTTGGGTTCTGGGCTGGCGGCCACTCCCCACCCTCCCACGCCTACTGTTCCTTCTTCCTGGTCATTCACATTCGGTAAAATGTGCACATCGTATGTGGACAACTCGGTGACGTTTCACACGTTGTCCACCCATATGACCACCACTCGAATAGAAAGGTGGAACACTTTTTAAAACCCCAAAAGTTTCCTTGTATTTGTTTTCAGAAAACACACCCCAGCAGTGGGAGGAAGTGACCACTTTTCTGACGTCTGCCACCCAAATGGGCTCTGTCTGTTCTCGAGTTTCACATAAATGAACTCATTATCGTAGGTGACCTTTCGTGTCTGTCCTCTTTCACTAAGCATATATGTTTTTGAGATTCATCCATGTTTTTGTGTGTATTAGTTCATACTTTTTTACTGCTGATTGTATTCCACTTTATGGAATGAAAAAGTACTTATTTTTGTATCAATGGAAATTTGAGCTGTTTCCAGTAGTTAGCAATCAGGAGAAAGCTGGTGTGGACGTTCCTGTCCAGAGCTGCAGACGTGCATGCTCATTCTGTACGAGGGGGCTCTGGGGGCCTCCGGGTAAGTCTGTGTTTAATATTGTCCGAAACTGCCAGATAGGTTTACAACGAGGCTGTGCTATGTTACGTGCTCACCAGCAATGTGGGGGAGTCCCAATTGCTCTGTGTCCTTGCCAGCTCTCAGTGTTGTGGGTCCCTGAAACTGGGCCGTGCAGGCGGTGTGTGGTGACAGATTACCATAGACTCAGCTTGAGAGTCCCAGCGAGCAAGTCGATCAGGCCCGCTCCTGTGTGCCTGTGGGTCTCCAGGTACCTTCTGTGCGTGGGAAGTTCCTCTTCAGGTCTTTTGTTCATCTTTTCATGACGGTTGTTTTGTGGAGTTCTTTGTCAGATATATACAGATATAGTTATGTATTCTTTTATGATTAATGCCTTTATGTCTAAGAAACCTTTGCCTGCCCAGAAGTCATGATGATATTCTTCTATATTTTCTTCTAGAAGCTTTATCGTTTGAACTTGCACGTTTAGGTCTATGATCCGGTTTTTTTAAAAAAGATGACCAGTAAGGGGATCTTAACCCTTGACTTGGTGTTGTCAGCACCATGCTCTCCCAAGTGAGCCACGGGCCGGCCCACTGGGTGGTGTCTTTTGTCTCTCTGACCAGCAGTGGAGCCAGCAGCCTTGCACAGGTGCCGGTGGTGGGATCTGCTCCTGTCTTCTGCTCGTGTTCTCTGGTGACTTGTCTGTCCTCTTCTGACAGCCCAGTGGCCTCCAAGCCCACTGCCCGTGTGCTGCTGTGTCTTGTGCACCTCGGCAGCTGCTTGCAGCTCTCTGAGCTTCAGTGTGGCCCTTCGTCTTTTCCTTCCGCCTTTTCTCATTGCATCTCCTGAGTGAGCCACGGGCCGGCCCACCTCATTGCATCTCCGTACTTCCCAGTTCTGAGGCTGCGGAGATCCTTCTGCAGCATCTTCTAAAAGTAGTGCAGTCTGTCTCATGGTTACCTCTAGGGTCTGTGTCCTCTGAGTGTGTACGGTGCATGTCTCTTTTTGCTGTTATTTTGTCATCATTGCCAGGAGCCACACCAGGCTTTCTCTGCCGCTCACGGAGGGGGTGCCGGGTGGTACTGAGTGCAGGCTGTGGGCCTGCGTGAGCCATGTCTGGCTCCGCCACTTGCTGCTCAGAGACTGTGGCAGGTCCCGTTGCCCCTGGGGCCTCAGGTTCCTCATCTGTAGAATCGGGGTCATGATGATCCTACTCTCCTGGGACTGTCATAGGGAATAGAAGTGTTACCACGTGCTGTGTGCCTTGTTTTTATTTTTATTAATCTCATAACCACTTCTTGATAACCACTTTCTGTCCCCATTTAAATATCAGGAAAGAAGGTGTTATGTTGCTGGTTCTCAGGAGGGGGTCCCAGACCAGCATCTTCAGCTCACCTGGGAACGTGTGAGAAATGAACACCGAGCTCCCCGTGCTGCTGAGTCAGAACCGGGGAGCAGGAGAGGAGGCCCCCAGCCCGGTGTTGAGCAAGCCTTCTGGCGATGCTGACTCCCTGCAGTCCGAGAAGCACTGCAGTACCACTGCCAGCACTTAACCTGCGTCCACTAGGGCCGGCCCGTGGCTCACTTGGGAGAGCGCGGCGCTGACAACACCAAGTCCAGGGTTGAGATCTCCTTACCGGCTATCTTTTAAAATATAAATAAAATAAACCTGGGTCCACCGACTGCTACCGGGTTTACCTCCTGCTCTACACTGCCAACTTTTAGCTTCGTAATTGGGTAAAATAACATTATCCGAGGAGAACCAGTTTGTCCCCCTAGAGAGAAGCCGTCTGCTTTTGCTGTGCCTGTCCTCCTCCCACTTGGAGGGCCGCAGTGAGGCCAGGCCCTGCGCCATGGCCCCGGCCCTGAGGGGCGGTGGATGTGCGGTGGGAGATGGAACCCTCTTGTCGTCTCTTGTAGCTGCTCAGATGGAAGTTAAGAAGCCCTTTCTTCTCTCCTCCATGAGGCTTCCCCTTCTGGACACCAACCACAAGGTAAACCGGACAGGCCAGCCCAAGCCCCACCATGAGCAGCGGTAGGGCATGTGGCTAGGCTGGCCCTGAGGCCACCCACTGACTAGGCAAACGCCTCCCCTCAGCGAGACGCAGGCGTCCTGAGGCCCGAGCGAAAACTGTGTGTGGCTAGGACTCCCACGTCTTACTCCCAATGTGTTCACCAGGTGCAGAGTTAGGAAACAGTCCCCATGACCACCCTTGCTGCCGGCACCAGTCACAAGCCCAGGGTCCCCAGGGCCACCCTCAGAAGGACTCATGGGACTCAGAAAGCTGTAATGTGCAGTTCATCACAGTGAAAAGGTGCAGATTAAAATCAGCCCAGGGAAGGGGTGCTTGGGACAGAGTCCAGGAGGGTCCAAACACGGCTTCCAGCCATTCTCTCCCCAAGGGGTCGTGGGGTCGTGGGTGGCGTCAACGCCCCTGGCAACACTGTGTGTCAACATGCACGGGGCAAGGCCAACCCGGAAGTGCCCTGAGCCTTGGTGACTGGAGTCTCCTGGACACTTACCTGGACCTGGCTGCTGCCCATGTGGCTGACTCAGTCTCCAGTCTCTCTGGAGGTGGAGCTGACACCATGTGGCCCAAAGCTCCACCTGAGTCATGTTGCTAGACCGTCTGGTGTGGTCTGAGGCCCCCAGGTAAACAAGGCTTAGAGATGACCTCCCGGGAGCCGGAGGCAGGACCAGACCCCTCTTAGGACAGGTGGATCCTTAACTGCACCCAGGCTGATCGGCACCACCGTCTGGGCAGGGCCTGCTTACTCACAGGGGCAGCTCCATCCTCTGCGCTGGCCCTGGGCCTATTCTTTGGGACCTTCTGTGACTCTCACTGTGTCTCCCCAGAAGCCACTGAAATGGACCCCAAGTCACACCTGTTGCAGGCTCCCCTCTACACAGCCCACAAATCTCATACTCAGGGGTATTCTCCCCTGACAGCCTCCAACAGGGTCCCGTGGTCCAGACTGTGTGATGCCTGCAGTGCCCAGTGGCCAAATGCACTCTTAGCCCGGGCGGTCAGGTGGCTGTCCACTCGCTCCCTCCAGACCCCTCTGTTTCCACAGACAGCCAGGCTGGACACACGTGTGTCATTGGGGATGACACAAGCTGGGAGTGGTCTGGGAGGCCTCCTCAGGACAGTAATGTTTGACCTAAGATCTGAAAGCACAGAGGTGTCTTCAGGATGCAGGGGAGAGGGTCCCAAGGGACAGCAGCATGTGCAAAGGGCCGGGGTGGGGCGAGGCCAGCGTCTGTGCAGTGGATTGTTTTGACCTAAGATCTGAAAGCACAGAGGTGTCTTCAGGATGCAGGGGAGAGGGTCCCAAGGGGCAGCAGCATGTGCAAAGGGCCGGGGTGGGGCGAGGCCAGCGTCTGTGCAGTGGATTGTGGGTTGGGGATGCCTGGATGAGACTCTGGCTCTGGGGACAGGGGTGGCTGTTTTGGCCATGTTGGACTGGCCAGGCCTTCAAGTGAGCAGGAAATTGTTGGGTGGGGCTGGACTTGCAGGCTCAGAATTCCCAGGAGTGTTTGGGTGACAACTGCAGATCAGGGACCATGACCTGAAGGCTGGAACAGCCAGGGTAGTTGCTCACTCTGGAGAAGTGTGGGTGCTACACAAGAGAAGCCAGCCCCGAGGGGCACCAGCCCCACTGTCCGGGGCCATGATGAGCCCTGGGCGGAGTAGACAGACATGTTTAAAGCCAGGGAGGCAATGGGCCTAGTGCCTGGGAGGGTGGCCAGTGTCCAGGAGGTCAGACAGCAGAGCAGCTCTGGGGTGTTCTCAGCAGAGTGGCTTTCCTGTAGTCAGAGGTGAAGCTTGATGGAAGCAGACGGAGGAAGGAAACTAGTGAGACGAGGTGACTCTGTGGTGTCGGCAGGAGGGGAGGAAGGTGTGGACGATGGAGGAAAAGAGGCCTCCCCTGCAGACCTGGGCATGGCCACAAGCTGCTGAGAAGGTCACCATGAAGGAGCTGAGGGAGCCTCCATGCAGCCAAGAGACCGAGAGGAAGGCAGGTTCAGGTGCACGTATCCATGCAGCACAGGTGCGCATGTTGGCATAGGTGCAGGTACAGGTGTAGGTGTTGGTACAGATGTAGGTGCAGTTATAGGTGTTGGTGCAGGCACAGGGGTAGGTGAAGATGTAGGTGCAGGTGTGGAACAGGTGCAGACACAGGTCCAGGTTCAGGTAGAGGTGTGGGTGGGGGCAGGAGTGAGCTTCCTGTCTGCTGACTGAACTGGCATGGCAGTCACCATCTGTGGCCCCTTTCTGATCTCCCATTGGTCCTGGGCAGGTGAAGCGGGCTGTGGTGCAGGTGATCAGTGCCATGGCTCACCATGGCTACCTGGAGCAGCCTGGAGGCGAGGCGATGATCGAGTACATCGTGCAGCAGTGCGCACTGCCCCCGGAGCAGGAGGTAAGGGGCCGCTGCCTCACCCATGCCCTCAGCCCATGGTGCCCCTGACCTCTGTCAGACCCTGGTCATCTGAAGCTGTGGGACCCACAGAGAAGAGCTGTGGCCTGGGTCTGTGGGTTGAGGCTCCCTCTGGTTTCTGAATCAGGGTCCCTGCACTGTTAGTGAACTTGACAGCTCCCAGGACTCAGAAGGCAGAGGCGGAAAATAGAGACTTTGTTCTCTTGGGGAATTTTTTTATATAAAAAGTCACTAAACAAATGCCAATTTCTTCTTGAAGGACAGCAAGGTAGCATGTGGCAAGAGTAAGCTGCAGGTAGGCTGGCAGTCGGATGCCATCCCGAGCTGCCGCCAGCCTGCTGCTGAGCGTGTTGGCGCTTGGGTCCCCCCAGTTCTGGGTCTGGTCTCTTCAAGTCAATAAAGCTGGCCTGTCCACCAGGGCCAGCTCAGAACAGACACACAGCTCTCTTCCTTGTACCCTTGTGACTGTCACCATGATACCCCCTGTGCCCTCAAACAGGATGTCTGCATATATCCTGAAATGCTAGAATTCGAGAATGAGTGGGGACGAGCTGGACCCTCTGCGAGAACACCCGGCTCCTTCCTTCTCTGCAGCCCCGTCTGCTCCCACCTGTCAGTGTGGCTCATGTGGGCCTCAGAATCCCCACAGCAGCTTCGCCGGTCATTAGGCCTGAACCACAGAGGGCCAGGGCCTCTGATTTAGCCTATTAGGCCCCAACATTTTAGGGTTTGAAGATCTCTTTTAATGTTAGAAAACTTTAATAGGCTCATGGTAGGAATTGTACTTTTAGTTCTTTGGCAAGGAAGGTTCTACTATGAACTCTGAAATTATTTTTAACATTTTGAATAAGACGAAATCTAACAGACTTCAATGTCTTTTTCTTTTTTTTTCTTTTTTGTCTTTTGTCTTTTTCCGTGTCCGGCAACGGATCGCAACCCTCAGTGTTGCCCCCGTACCGGACCGGGGACCGGCAACGGGATCGCAACCCTCGGTGTTGCTCCCGCGCCTCGCTCAGCCAGTGAGCGGGAACCGGTCTGTATGTGGGATCCGAACCCTCGGGCGGGAGCGCTGCCGCGCTTCCCAAGTGGCGCACTGTAGCAGTGCGCCAGCGGGCCGGCCCCAGACTTCAATGTCTTTTAACCACAGCACCTCACCGTGTGCGGGGGGCCTTCTGCTTGGTCGGTGTTGCTTGAGGTTGGAGTCAGGATGGACATGCGGGGGGCTCGTTATATCAGTCTCTCTGCTTTGGCATGTTTCAAATTTTCCATGATAAAATGTTTAAAAAAAAAAAAAAAAAGACTTATCCTTCTGAGATAAGTGGGCCTTGGGGTGTTGGCCCAACTTGCTGCAAAGGAGGTGAGATGTGGTTGCTGGGGTCCTGCGGGGCCTGCACGTGCGCTGGTTCTGCACTGGCCGGAGAGCACCTGACGCTGGGATGGTGCAGAGTTAGTTGGGTGCGAGGCCACTGGGGAGGAGAGAAAAGGGTCCCAGAAAGCCTTGCTAGTGTTTAGTTTCCACTTTTAAGACTTTTGGAGAAAGGCGAGTTAAAGATTAGAATTGTTTATTATTTGTTATTATAATTTTGCTGTTTCATCTGTATTTTTTGTTTTCCCCTCAACTTTCTTTAACAGTCAGATTATTGAAGTACAATCTACATACGGTGAAATGAACCCTTTTGAGTATAGAATTCTGTGCTTTTTGACAAGTTCACACCATCACGCAGCCACTATGTCAGGGCCACAGAGCAATCTGACACCCCAAATTCCCTTTGCCTCCTTGTAGCCAACCCCTCTCCCAGCCCCAGGCCCTGATGGCTCTGGCCATGTGAATGGACTTGCACGGTGCACAGCCCTTGAGTCTGAGATCCACCACTCGCACTGCGTGTTATCCATGGTCACGCGGGTCAGTCATTTGTCCCTTTCCACTGCTGGGTTGTATCCCATCACATTGGTGTGCCACAGGTGTTCACCACTCACCAGTGGAATGGCATTTACATTGTTTCCACATTTGGCAATTATGACTAAATCCACCATGGTCATTTGGGTGCAGGTTTTTGAGAGCATTGTATGCCTTGGGTGAATAAACACCCAAGAGTGGGATTGCTGGCACAAGCAGAAAGGGTGTGTTTAACTTCATAAGAAACTTTCAGATTGTTTTCCAAAGAGGCCGTGTCACCTTGCACTGCCAGCAGCGGTGTGTGGGAATTCCTATTGCTCTGTGTCCTCGTAAGAACTTGCGCGATTTGCATTAGCTTTTTTTTTTTTTTTTTTTTGTTTTTTGTTTTTTTCCGTGTCCGGCAACGGATCGCAACCCTCAGTGTTGCCCCCGTACTGGACCGGGGACCGGCAACAGGATCGCAACCCTCGGCGCCGCTCCCACGCCTCGCCCAGCCAGTGAGTGGGAACTGGTCTGTATGTGGGATCCGAACCCTCAGGCGGGAGCACCGCCTCGCTTCCCAAGCGGCGCACTATCCAGTGCACCACCGGGCCGGCCCTGCATTAGCTTTTTTTAAAGCCATTCCAGCAGGCTGGTGTCACTGTGGGTTTAATTTGCATTCCACTAACGTGTTGAGAAATTTCTTCTTTCTACATCTACGAATTTCCGTTGCTTCTTTGTCAAACATCAAGCAACTTCATGGGTTCTCTGCTTTGTTCCACTGGTCTCTGTTCTCTCATCCGGACCTCACTGACTCGTCTGTGGCTTTATGGTAAGTGCTTAGTCAGGTGGCATGAACCTTCCATCTTTGGTCGTCCTTTTCAGTTGTGCTTTGGCTATTATGGTTCCTTTGTTTTTCCATGTACATTTGAGAATCCTCTTGTTGATTTATACAAAAATAAACCTGTTGGAATGTTGGTTGGGGTTGTGTCAACCTGCAGACCATTTGAGGAGAATTGATGTCTTTCTAACGCCAGGTCTTCCAATCCACGACAGCAGCACGTCTCTACACCCACGTGTATCTGCTTTGGCGTCCTTCAGCATGTGGGCTCTGCGTGTTCTGGCGTTTCGTTAGGTTTGTAACTGTGTTGTTTTCAGTGCCATTGCAGCAGCGCGGTTTTGTCTGTCAACCACGAGCGTGCACAAGTGTGACTGGCTTTGCTCGTGAGCCTTGTGTCTCGCGGCCTTGCCTGTTCATAGGTCCTTTGGGATTTTCTATGCAGAACATGATGCCTTCTTCAAAAGACAGCTTCACTCTTCCCTTGCCACTGGGGTGGGTGCCTCCTGTCCTGCCGTGCCTTGTTGGTCAGCACTTGCAGCACAGCGCCGCGCAGCGGTGGCAGGAGCAGCTGTCCTTGCTGTGTCCCACTCCCACTCCCAGGGGACACACCGTTCTTTACTACTGAGAATGTTATTAGTAACAGGTTTTCACAGATGCCCTTTATCAGGTTGGAGAAATTCCTTTCATTCCTAGTTTTCTGAGACTTTTTATCATGGATTGAAATTTTTTTCAAATGTTTTTTGTGCACCTACTGATGAAACCACATAATTTTTTGTCTTTTGGCTATTGGTATGGTAGATTATGTGGATGGTTTTTTTAATAAAACATTTCTATTGTGGTGAAATAACAAAATTGACCACTTCAGCCATCTTCAGTACATTTCAGTACGTTTTCAGTACACTTTAAGTGCACGGTTCAGTGGCATTAAATACGTTCACATTGTTGTGCAAACGTCACCACCGTCCATCTGTAGAACTTTTTAATGTTCCCAACCTGAAACTGTACCCGTTAAACACTAGCCATTGCCTCCCTGCTGCAGCCCCTGGCACCTACCATTCTGTTTTCTGCCTCTGTGAATTGTACTGCTCGAGGTACCTCATGTAAGTGGAGTCCCACAGCATTTGTCCCTTTGTGACTGGCTTCTTTCACTCAGCATGATGTCCTCAGGTTCATCCATGTTGTAGCATGTGTCAGAATTTCCTTCCTTTTTACGGCTGAGTCATGTTCCATTGTATGGCTGGACCACGTCTGTTTACCCGTTATCCGTGACAGACACTCGGGCTGCTCCTCCGCTTTGACTGCTGTGCACACAGGCCCACAGCTCTCTCTCTCTGAGACCTGCTTTCCGTTCTTTTTTTTTTTTAATCCCTGATGTGAAAAGTCATTTATTTTCATTCTGGGCACTAGCTCCGTGGATCTTGCAAATGAATGCTTTTTTCATCCTTACCCAGACTTAGCTGAGTTGGAAGAGTTTTGTGTTTATATTTATTTTTAAAAGAAAAGAGATTAGAGAATACATGTCTGTTTTAAAGCAACTTCCTCTTTGATCAAAACAGCAGTTCTGTGCCCGGTGGTGAGTCCTCTCGTGCATCTTGTGACGCTGACGGTTTTGGAGGCTGGCCCAAGGTCCAGGAAACACATCTGGTGAGGGCCACCTTCTAAGGCAACACAAGTTGTCACGTGGTGAGAATGGGCTGAGCAAGAGAGCCATTCTTTTAAATATCACACATGTGATTGCTTTTGATGTTAAATGAACCTTGCAGTGCCAGGATACACCCCACCTGGTCAGGATTTGTCATCCTTTTAATAATTTGCTGGATGCAGCTTGCTAGTGTTTTGTGGAGAGTTTGCATCTCTGTGGCAGGGACGTTGGTCTGCACTGTCACTGTCATATCTTTCAGTGGTAATGCTAGAGTCTCGCTGAAGGGGCGCACGGACAAAGGAATGACGCGAGACCCGGGCTAACAGTTCGCCAGAGAAGTTCCGCTTTATTCAAGGACTGCACGTACATTTATAGGGAGCTGCATTCCGGGTTTGGATAGGGGGTGGACGGGGCGGTAGCTGATTGGACGGGGCTGGGCAGGAGGTGGGCCTTGACTTGTGACTGGCTGAGGCTTGGCGCGGGTGGGCTTGGGTGTTGGCGCCGACGGGCTTATTTACTGCGGAGAAGAACCCGGAAGGGTGCCATATTGCTAGGGAATGCTTTACCCTTCCCCTCCGCTCGAGTGCCCACGGCATCCTTACATTCGAGTGCTACGGTATCCG